TAGATAGAAAACTTTGAATCGATCTGACTGGATGATCAGGTTGAACTGTTTCTATAAAGTGACCTGAGATGATGTGAATTGGCGCCCCACTGCACCGCCATGCATGTTTTATCTGAACATGATCACTGGAGAAGAGGATGTAGCTTTGCTTATAAAAGGCCTCTCTGCTCTGCAACCTCCTCTCAGCCCAACTGGCTCCACAAACTCTGCATCACACTGATGACACCAAACCAAAACGCTGCACATCTGCACCATATAAACTAATGCTCTAAACTTCCACATCAATGCGTTTTTTGCATCATGTTTTCTCTCATTTTCTTTCATTTACTGTCTGAAATATTTACTAAACTAAATGTCATTTTGTAAACAAAATATTGTACAAAATTACAATAAGTCTAAGTCGGTGGTTTGAGCCAGACGGGACAAAGGAAGAACCCCCCCCCCCCTTAGACCAGCTTTATTCACTAAGGGTTAAACCCTGATATAACATTAGTGTTCATGTGTTCCTCAGATGCTCGTTACGTTTCCATGACCAAGTCTGACCAAGAGTCATTAGTGGAATCCTGATGTCTATTCGCTGCTAGAGGATAAAGAATCATTTGACTAAAGGTTTTTGGTTCCTGATTAAGCAAATCATTCAATAAAACAAATATTTGGCCAAATAATGTTTTATTCACCTCATGGATTTGCATTGTTGGAAAATTTTCCAATTGTTCTAAATTTGTGAATTTTTCAAGATAAATTCTTCCAGATAAACTTTGGTTCTCAAACATAAAGAAAATATATTGTATACTTGTTTCTGAAATAACGTCCCAAATAATAAAATAATTTCAGTAAAAGCACTACTGTTGTCATGGTGATATTTCTGGTGCAGGCAGACAGTGTAGTTTTATACTTTGATCTAAATAAACCAGATTTGTTTAACTTCATTTTTTTTGGGTTTGTTTTTGTCGTAAACATGAGATCGCGTTACGACGCAATGACGTCACTTTCCGGTAAAATTGAGAAACGTCCTGGTGGCGGAGTTTTCCATCGGTACGTCTTGTGCGCAGTGACGTCATTTTCGGGGCGGGCCTATAAAGACTTGTTTTCTCCGTTCTTGTCTCCATTTTGTTAGAGCTGGTGAGACAGAAGCGCCCTCCGCGTCCCAGCGAATCCGACCCTCCCGGACAGAAACCAGAGAAAGTCAGCCGCCGATCCGCTCATCAAGTTATTATCCGAAAGGAAAGCAAATCTTATCGTATGTCCGCTATCCAGAACCTCCAAACCTTCGGTGAGAGCTTGATGGTGGCCGCAGAGGGTGGGGGAAGGGCGGGAGTTCACAGCCAGCTCTTTAACGGCCTTTACTCTTTTTATTCTTTTTATTTGACTCTTTTTCACAGTAAAGTGATGAACTGATGTCAAACTGTAGCGGATTTAAAAGCTTCAGGGATAAAGTTTTAATCCTCCGCGGAGCTCAGGCCCTGCTGGCCGCCATTACTGGGCCTTAGCGATGCTAACTGCTGCTAGCTTCCCTTTGATCGCTCTATTGTTGAAACAGGAAGTCTGTATATTTAGCTGCTGATTCTGCGCAGTTGCTGTGACCCTCCCTATAGATCTAGAGCAGCAGTTAATGTGTTGTTTCTTTCAGACCCCTTTGCTGATGCAACTAAGGGTGATGACCGCCTCCCAGCTGGGACAGAGGACTACATCCACATAAGAATCCAACAGCGGAACGGCAGGAAGACCCTCACCACTGTCCAGGGCATCTCAGCCGACTATGACAAGAAGAAGCTAGTCAAGGCCTTCAAGAAGGTAAAAGTGATTCTGTTCCCGCTGCAGCCCGGTTCTGGTTTGGATCAGAACCGATCGGATCAGAACCGGGCTGCAGTCTGGTTTCATCCCAGTGTTTGTTTATGGAGCCATTTAACGGCTCAGCTCACGCTTCAGACCTTCTTCTGATTGTTGAACAGAAGTTCGCCTGCAATGGGACAGTGATCGAGCACCCGGAGTATGGTGAAGTGATCCAGCTGCAAGGAGATCAGCGTAAAAATATCTGCCAGTTCCTGATTGAGGTGAGATTATCATCCCGCCTTCGCTCAGCGCCTCGTTAGCCACTCAGAGTTTAATTGATTTCCTTCGTCCTGCAGATTGATCTGGCCAAGGAGGAGCAGCTCAAAGTCCACGGCTTCTAGAAGCTGTCAGCAGACCCCCTCCCCTTCCTGGAAGCCTATCAAACACCCCGACCCCCCTCCCTCCCTCCCCCCCATGTGCTGCTGTTGCTCCCCCCTTACCTCTGAAACATGGGACTCTGTAACGCCTCCACCCCCCCTCCCTGCTGGGGGCACAGACGCACCGCTGCAGCTCCACACATCAGGGACGAGTGGTGATGCTCGTTCCTCCTTCCATGACCCTTTGGTTCCCTCCTTTATTTTTAGATCAGGCGCCTCGGGCCGGCGCCGCCGCTTCATGTAACGTTTTTGTTTTGTACTTTGAAGGTGTTTCAATAAAACGATGAGTCTCCATTTATTGCAGCGGGTGCTTTCGGGGGGGCTGGGTGCAGGAAGGTTGGCCCGTTTGGGTCAGAAGCTGCAGGACCGGTTCTGATCTTTTGGAGCGCTGATGGGAATAAACCTGCTGGTTTCAGTGGTTCTTACTGGGCTGAGAACGATTCAGGGCAAAGAGAAGCATCAATCTGTCAGAATGATTGATCCAAAGATTAATTATTACATCTATTGAACATTTAACCCTTAGTTTGCTTCATCCAGGTCCTTACTCTGAATGTTTAGATGAGTTTTCAGAGTTCCTTTCTGATTTGGTATTAAATACTGACAGG